CACCCTGGATGAGCACGTTGAAGTCCTGGTCATCCTCGCCAGCCACGTTGGTGGCCACACACAGGTATCGCCCTGAATCCGCCACCTGTGTGGGCCGGATCTGGAGCAGCCGCCCTTCACCCAGGAGTTGGAGCCGCTCGTTGGGGGCCACGGGCTGGGGAGTGGAGAGAGTGGGAAGGGAGATGAGAAAAGAAGGGCAGAAAGCACCCAGATGAGGGTACTTCTATTTAAAAAAAAGGAAAACATAAAGTAATAGGAATACTCCAACAATGTTGGAGTATACCAAATCCATGTAACTTAAACACTGGAAGAGAATTAAATGGGTGAATATAGCGTTTAATGTTGGTGATACTTGTTACCTATAAAGAGTTGGATTTCTTATTGAAATATAAAGGGTGGTACGGGCCCCAGACCAGCTCTGGGACCAGGTGCTTTGATCACCTTTTCTGGAAGGTTCCAGGCAGAACCATAGGGAACCCACAGGCCACCCACTGGGTTCCACACTCACCCGGCCATCCTTGTACCAGCTGATGGTGGGTGGGGGCACAGCCCAGCACTCACACTCCAGGGTCAAGGTACTGTTGACCTTGGTCTTCACTTCCTTCACGCTGACCTCCCCCTAGGGGTCGTCTTTGGAGATGGAAGGGGGTACTGAAAACCACAGGGGGTCTGAGGAGCAGGTCTGGGAAAGGGGGGCTGAGCCCCTGCACCCACCCTGGTCCTAGGGCAGTTGTAGAAACGGGGGCTGCTCCCAAGAGTGGAAGAACAGGGACCCTGGGAACCGACCTGCTCCTGGGGCTGCTCATGCAGGGGAGAGAGGCAGGGGGATTACTGAGGTGGCCTCTGGGGGATCTTCTGGGGATACCAGCTCTCAAGCTGTGGGGCCTCTGATGGCACCACAGTACAAGTGGCAGAAGGAAACCAGGACTGGTATGGGTTGGGATGCCCATGTGGCCCAAGTCCTAACTGGTTCTCTCCTCCTGGTGTGCTCAGCCCTATAATGACTGAGTGGGCCCTGGCTGCCTGGCACCCATCAGATGAGACAGCCCATGTGAAGGCACCTGGGGTATCCAGTGCCACCCATGTTCCAGGTCCCAGAGCAGCCTCTGCCTGCCCGGCGGGTGCCTCGGGGGTCCCCAACTCACTGAGGACTTCCACGTGGTAGTTCTTCACAGCCTCCCCAAGCTC